ACTCAAATCAAGAGAACAGCAACAAGTGACAAGAATCAGGAACGAAGTGCCTTCAGAGCCGGCGACAACTTGCAGTGGAGATTCACCTCGAATGTTGTAGGTGGCAGGGCCGCTAAGGCGACGGCATGGAGTCTGACAGCACCTCGGACGGCGTTCCTTCGCTGGAGTTGATGGAGAAGGCTTTGTTGGGGGGTCGTCTCTGCCTCAGAACCGACGGGTCGAAATTCGGGTGACGACGAGCGTGTTTGCTGCAAGAGAATGAAAGTGTTCCTCATGAGGAAACCGTTTGATACGAACGAAAGGAAAGGAAATGAAATAAAACATGTTGCCAACATTGACCTAGAAACACTTCCCAAGTCAAACGGCATGTGTCATCAAAGCTTATATATACTGTTGCAAATGGGGCTGCGTTATAAATGGAACATTCTGTATTTTAAACAAGCACAAACTTATCAATTCTCACTTAAAGGAAATTCAGTCTACACTTTTATATACGACACTCGTAAATTTATATGTGGAAAACAAATGAGTACTGCAGGATATTTACATTGGAGTGTTTGACATACTGAGATTAAAACCACATTACCATGTCAGTGAATAATTATTAGCTGGCTAAGCCAAAGAGGGTGTTGGCTCGAAATCTATCACAACAGCCACACACATTATTATGCATTCTATGCACGAAGTGCATAGCGAGCACGCATTATGGGCTGGTCGTATCCGTCCGTATGGTCGATTCACCTCAAGAATTAGTGGACGCATTTGCATGAAATTTGATGTGGAGCCTGTGCTATTTTGCACGACCTAAAAATCGCACTTTTCAATATCCTATGAGCGTTGATAACAAATGACGGATGAGGAAAGTCGTGATGCAGGTACTGAGGTGCTGCGGTCTGGTGGCCAAAGTGGGAACTATACAACACAGCGGATTTAATGCCTCAAAATTCACTTTGCAAACAACGAAAAATGTTTTGTTTTTGTTCCCCATTACCGAAAGGTGAGCTCGAATGGGTATCGCTCTTACTTTACATTCAAATATTCACTTCATGTTTTTTTCGATTTCTGGCGTAGATGAGATGACTGTAAAAAAAGGTAAATTTGTTGAACTGACTCGAAATGTGGGCAAATTGTTTCAAAACAAAACAAAAAAACATCGCACAAGAGACTTGCTCCTAGCCTTCCCCTTGAAAATTCCACCGGCCAAAAACTACTGCGCCGACTATAGGAGTAATGACTGAACATTTAAAACAATACAAAAATATTACATTTTCGGTGATAATTATGTAAAAAAGCAAACCCATTCCTTTTCCAAGCTCGGAACAGCTTCTAATGAAATTATATATATAAGTGAATTGTAACGTATTCATTTTTTAATCACAATTAAAAGAGTGGTATTTTAGTGTATTTAATACCACGTATTATATATGGAATATACGTTTTCCATCAGATTATTAAAACACATCTCAAGAATCATAATTTGGCTTACACAAGTGATTCCAGTAACGTCTAAATACGTCATCACGAAACGGTTCCGTTGTAAAACAGCTAAAACTGAAGCCAAATTATAATCCTTATTATTGCAAATTCTCAAGGAAGAACAGAGTGAAGGGACCATGGTTCTGCACTGACCTAAGATGATCGCTTCGCATGAACTTCTTGCCGCAGACAGGACACGTGAAGTTCTTCTCTCCTGTGTGAGTTCTAGTGTGGCGTGCAAGTTCATCCGATCGTGCGAACCGTTTCCCGCATCCCGTCCAACCGCACGGGAATGGCCGCTCGCCTGCAACAACAAAGCAATCATTCAATACACCTCACAATATGCACATGTCCACATTGCTGGTAGTGCTCGCTATTTGACGTTCCTGGAGAGAGTTCATAAAGCGAGTCGTTCGTCCCACAAATGTTATTAAAATTGGCGGTTGCCCTCCCAAACGACCAAAAGAACGAAAAATACAAACAATTATTGATTAAAACGAATAATATAAGATTATTATCTGTGCTAATAACTGATAAAAACAGCAAAATCTACGAGAATATTCAAAACAAAACAGACCATGACTCATGAATTTCTCCAGGTTTCGCTGCGTAACGTTGCGTCCATTACGTTTCCGTCAGCATGTGTTCGGTTTTGTTCGGAAGATTTCGGATGATCGAGATCACATCAGAATGACGTGCGCTTTATGAAAAAAAAAAGAGTTCGTATTACGGATATTTCTTAATGAGAAACTTCGTAAAGCGACCATTCGTACTAATTCAACATACTACAGAGATATGGCAAGATAATTGAAAAACATTTCCGTTAAAACAATCACCAGCGCCACCGCGTAATGTCACGGTCCTTAATTTTAAGAACGGGGATTTAATGACGCCTCCTGAGTATAGGTCAATGATGTTTTGTTGTTTGATTTCACTTCCTTGCGCTATATACCACGCATGCGCCACACACACCACTTAATGGTAACCTCATGGCCTGGCTTCTATCCTTGGTAAGGGCACAGGACTTTTTACTAAATTACAGCTTTTTATCCAAACTACAGGCTGAAGCGGGACTCTTTCATTAGCATAATCGTAGCGTGAATCCTTACAACGTCCTTACGAAAGGCTTACTGTTGTCTGATATGGAAAATAAAAGATAATATTTCCGTCTACACAGTAAATCATATTATATAATAATTATGTATTATATGTAGGCAAAACATGTTTCGGTTCCTCTATGACCATCAACAGGTAACATAAAATCATGATAAACAGTTAAAGATCGAAGTGTATGACATTAAATGTTAAGATGCTAAAAACTAAATGTTAAAATAATCGAATCACACCTTAAAATGTTTCAGTACTGCACTTGAAGGATCCTATTAAGTCCAGTTATATAGTCAACAATACACAACAATTACTACGTTCCAGTACCAAAAACAGATACAATATTCTTAAGGAAAAATAATAAAAACATGACTGACATTAAAACTTGGCCTCCTTTACATAAATAAGCCAACAAACCAAGAAAATAGTTAATCATCTTAAAATACAGCTATCTAAATTGCGTTTAAAGCTATAAATACCATCGCTAATCACCCAATATCAAGCTGTTAGTGCTTACATTTCCCTTGAATCCATTATTCTCAATAAAAATATATGACTTCTCAATATTACACGTGAAAACAACTGGCCTTAGCATATTCACCGTTTACATAAGCATCGTATACGAAATACCAATTATAAAGACTGGGCACTCGACCACTATGGTCTTATCTACACATCGACTTTTACATACTCTGTACATTTTGATTATTTTAAGATTACAGCATTTAGAATAAAAATATTTAACCACTGAATTCAAATAATACCATACAATTCAATATTTAAATATTTATCACGATTATATGCCTACCTGATGATGGTCACAGAAGAGATCGAAACATTTGGTTTATGTAAATACATAATTCGTATATAATTTGTCATGTACACTCACATTCAGGCCTCCACCACATGCCGAGTCACCTGGTGTAAGGCAAAACAAATTACGTTTAGCCGAAACATTTTAATTTGAGAATTCTGAGATTCTAATGGCTATATGCCGAGAGTAAAACACTGACGTAACACGGATAATAGATGTAGAAGTTCTCAATAATGACGTCATACTGCAAAACGTTCTACTTTGTAAATACTTCAACCATTAGGCAGCTTTTAGAAGTATCAGTGAAAGAAACGTTGAAATAACAGGCACTGGACAGAAGAGAGGGGGATAAAGGTACGATAGGGGAAAAAGGGCCAAGGGATGAAGATGCGAAAGAAGCCATTCCTAGTTGAATATAAAGGGGCTGTTTTCCAAGAGCATAAAATAAAGTCTGTGCAGACTGTAGCGTTCGGAGCCTGGAGAGTATGTTTTCCAGCACTTCAAGACTGCCACACGTATTGCCGCTGTCTTACGGCGAACTGCCATCAATGGACTGCGAGTCTGAAATCCACTGTACCGAAGCAGGAAAAGAACAAGAAAGGTATGTATACACAAAATGAACGAATAAATGTTTGTACTTACAAACGTAGATACATACAGGGCGTATGTATCTACGTAATTAAGCAAAAACAGATCACTGCAGTCGTAATGTCAAGGTACACAGAAACAATGCAGCGAACTGGAACCATTAAATGGTGTCAACAAATGTAATTTTGCTGTGCGACAGACTAAGAACATCACAAGCGGAACTGATAACCAAGCCCGCCTTTACAACTTCACGCACACGTTCGTATTTCGACCAGCAGTTTAAATTAAATTCGGTGTTTCAAATCAATTAATTGCAAATAACCTTGAGTCCCAAAGCTATCGTAACAAGCTCCTGATAAGGGCGAGATTAGTATCGTATGATCAGCGATTGATAAAACTGGACCACACCTGGAAGTAACATTCAATTTGGGACAGCGTGTATTTGTTTGTGGTTCACATATATGGACAAAACTGCATTCAAACAGAAAACCAAACAAGAGTTACGACGTTCTTATTCAAGCGCTAAATCATCGAGGCGAATCGTGCTTTTTCATTAAACGCCACACATTAAATAAGCATGGGGGAATGGATGTAAAGTTTCACGCATTCTTAACCTTTTAAAGCCCAAGGGTAACTAAACCTCTTTCAAAAGGCAGTGTCTCTGCATTTTGCATTTACAGGTTTCGTATTGTAAACAGAGAAAATTTCCTGTTGATATTTGCAATGGTCAAGTTTACATACCATAAATCTGACCTTGAAACATATTATGACAATCTCCTTCAAAGTCCTTACCTACTGAACATTCATTAACGCAGGGAAGGTACGCATAACCAAACAATTTCGCCGTGTTCCCATGAAAGTCTTCATATAAAGTGCTCGTTATTCATGTCCGACTTAAAAGACCTCATGAAATGAAATTTTCAGATGGGAAAATACCACATTTCATCGATTTCTAGACGCTATCGATTCATTTAGTAACAAGTTTTCATGAAAAAATACGCTATCGATTGTATGACGGACTTTTATTTAGTTCGTAAAAGATGCAAGTCAGCTACTGGAAAACAGGAAACTCTGCAAAACTGCTGCACCATCAGATTACAAAGGGATCGGTTAAGTAAAGCAATAACCAATACTCAGCTTAAAAAAAAACACGTGTTCGAAACTGAGTATTGACAAATGAAGATGTTATCTCGGTCACTGTGTTAGGATCGATATTCAGACCGACTCTGAAGTGATTGTCCTGAAGCTGCACGTAGAAACCCACATCGGCCCGCAGTAAAAGGACCAAGCAACCGTGAAGAAGATGGGAGAAAGTTATACTCAGTGTCTGACGATCAGTAGGTACCGCTGGCAACAGAAACATAACAGCACCTAATGCGGACAACGGGAGCCAATAAGGAACGTCCTGTTCGTACCGGTTATCTCAGCGGCACGGTTTCACCAAGTCACGTTGTTTACTGTAAACCATCTTCTAACGCGGATTCTTCCGCGGTGGACGAAGTGTGGCAAGGAGGCAATGGAAAGTCAAAGTTTACAAACAAAAAATGATAAATATACTCTAAAAAGGAAAAGCTGTTCCACTGTACGCCATGTAGGCGTTTGAGGGAGGGGAGAGAAGTAGTATAGATCCTACTCATTCTTAACCTCGGCACTGGATGGGGGTGTGTAGTCAGCCTTATTTATGGATCAAAGCCTTTTTGAATAGTAGCCTTAGGAAATTAGTTACAGGAGGCTCGGATCACAGAACTTCGAACGACAACTGATAACTGAATATCAGTCACGATCAGGAGAAACTGAAGTAATGGCAAAGACCTGTCAGAATAGCCAATATTTAAACCAGAGACCTCCCTACAAAGTAAAATACACAACACACTTACGAAATTATATTTCTGAATTACTTAAATACTGCACTTAAAACAAGCAACACAACAGAGTACCAGCAAGTTGATTACAAAACTAGGTAGCTCTCAATATCTTATATAATTAAAAAGCCATGTAAACAATTCCCCAAGGAAATAGGGTAGCTGAGTCACTACAGAGTTTACGAGCCAGACGACCGCGGATCGATTCCCATTTGGCTAGAATACATATTCGCCACAACGCGCAGCCCGGCTCTGCGTGTCCAACACCTACCGGGATCCTTTACCCGGGGGTAAGTGAAGTCAAGCAACTACAGCGCTCCCCTGACGTCTCGGGAGATGCGGTCCCTAGTTCCCAACTTGCACCGGATTCGGCACGGTCAAGTACAGAATCGTAGCGGCCCGGCCAACAATCTTTATCGGTGCGCTGCATCAACAGCCAGATAACCAATTACTCTTCGAAATGGATATAACGGCACATGAATCACGACTCACAGCAGCCACTGAACTATAACAAAGCTTTAAGCAATCCGCATCTAGCTGGGGTCCTTTCCTCTGGCCCTGCGAAATGGAGGAACGCAGTTAACAACCTCTCCCAAGAACCTTCTTCCCTTCTCGCCTCTTCAGAAATGAATCTATCCTTACACGGATGACAAAACTGCTAGATACCCAAACGAACGAACCAAACACCAGATGTAGAGTGTTTTGCCGCATCTACAAAGCAAGCATTGACACCATCATAGGCTAACAATTACATCCTTACAGACCTAATATCTGAGAAGTCGATCTGAAATAATAAAAAGAAAATACAGAGTATAGAAAAACTGCGAGTTTTGTAATCTGTGACCGTTCCAGGCTTTCTGACTGATAACCGAGTCTATACGGTATTCCAGATAAGTCGAGTGGCGATGTAAACAAAGTCGTGTTAAGGGGAAA